GGAAAGAAAATAAGCAATGTATGAAAGAAAAAAATGAAATAAAATTTGGAAAAAATAGAAATATATTTGTTAGCAAATTGAGTTGGAAAGGACACGGATAATTAGAAAAAATTGTTACTTGATCTTTCACTCATGAAGCTGAAAAAAAAAAATTTCAATTCCTAATCTATATAGTAGACCCTGATTTTTTATTTCCCGTGTTTTTACGTTTAATTGAAAATCGTTACAGAGATTTTTATTTACTGATTTATTGGTAGATTATCTCTAAATTTACAAATAACAAGGGACATTTTCAAGTTTTGAGTACACAGCTTAATATTCATAAACAGTCAGTTAACTTTAAGAGGCTGTCTCAGTAAAAACCGCCCACTCAATTTCGCGTGAAAAATGATTTTGCCTGAAACTCTGGCGAGTGAAAGGCTTTATGGAGACTATAACTAAAATAGGTTTACTTTGATTCACAATAATTTTCTGGCCGCGCTGGGGGGTGCCGAGTATTTTGTACCGCCACGGCCATTTTGTACGTCTTGAAAACTGAAAATTTGGTATTTTTTGCGGCGCTGTAAAAAGTTTGATTTGCACCATCTACCAATGAATTTTATATCTATTTATAGGTAAATATCTCTAGTTTTTCCTGAAAGTAATAGTTATCCGCTAAATTTAGCTGGAAAGACGAAATCAAGCAAAATATGACCCCAACTAATTGCCTTGGAAGGAAAGGCCAAAAATTACCCTTTTTTAGAAGGTTATTTCTGACTTTTGGGACATAGTTGAAAGCTCTAGACTAAATAGACGCAAAGATAGACCATCTGTTATTAATAATATACAAAATCCCGTGTACGATTTCAGTATTTTAAAAGTTATGACCGTTTGTATCAACGCGTATGCGAGCTAATACGATATTTTCAGATTTAGCGTAACGGATCTACCTCAAGTAGATTTTGTCAAAAGTACGGCTTACCTAATTCATTACTGGCACTGACTCACAAATTGAGCCATATTCCAATCCCTGAGATGCCGGACTCCATAAAATTCCGGTAAATGTGCTTTAGAAACTGCTGGTATGCGGCCATTTTTGAATCCCATGCTAACAATCCGAAGCTCAAAACAGGTGAAACTGTGTCACGTTTCGAACTAAATAGCTCGGTAAAACAACCGTTCAGAGGTGAAAGTTTGCTCGAGAATCAGAAAATCAACTAGGCAGGTCTCATTTTGCATCAGAAAATTGAGATTTCAGAGCTACAATCTCGAATAAACCTTCTATTCAACCGGCTCTGCAAGGTCAAAAGCAGGTTGACACGTAAACCGGATTCTAAGTGGCACTATCAAATTTGTACCTGTTCGGTCATCCTTGGGAAACTCGAGTCTTTTCGAAATTACAAGGGCTTAACTAGTATTCTCCTTAAAATTTTAGATGCAAATTCAATCGTTTTACGAAAAAGAGAATTCTTCTGACTCCTCTCTACATCACATTTTTGAATCCGAAAATTTAAGCTTCCTTTTTTTTCTACGAAGAATAGCCTAACCTGGGGAGTGAAATGTGGGAAATTAGGCTTCAGAAAATCGTTGGGAATTTATAAGATAAGCTTCAAAAGTTATACATCAATGGAAAGGTCATCAGGAAATTTTTAGCCGTCCTCAAGTAATAGAAAATTCTAGGCAGTATTTACTTCTCCTAACAGACATTCTACAGAAAACAGTCGTTGGATGCTCCTGATTTCCAGATCATCCAGTTGTCCATGAATGACAATATTTTCAAGTGCTTAGTGATCAGAGAAAATAATCACTGTTTAAAAGAGAACCGCTACAGTGATATGCACAATGTAAATTTAAAAGATATGAAAGATCAAAAGTGTCAGTTTAGCCCTACAGGCCAAAGTCTGTTGTAATCTCGATATAATCTCCTGTAGCCTTTTGCGCAAAATTCAAGCCAAAACAGCCCTATTCAATAGCCTGTTCCAGGCCTCGTTGAAACCTACAGGTAGCTAATTAGATTAAGGGAGCAAAATTAGACCCATGAAATTAGTACTGCGTTTTACCCACCGAATTGGCCCGTCTATAGAGCTAAAACCTTGATTTACAATGTAGCCTCAAACATAACCGTTCAGTTGTTTGTTTGTTTCTTAAATACTCCTCACCCATTCAATCACAAGTTGCTAAAAACGGAGCTGAAAGAGGGTTGGGACAACAACTCTTCACGTCTCAGAGTTTTCATTTTCTTTCAAATTATTAGAATTTTACATTACTGATCACAATGGTGTTGCATATCGGAAAAAGACTTTGAAAAAAAGTCCATAAAAAGAGGATTCGTTAAAAAAGGCATACGATCAATTGAATTTGAATTCGATGAAAATGGCAACGACCCTTCGCTAAACAAACTGAAACGCCACAGCTGGAGATTCTTCTGGCTAATACAGTTGACTCCCCATAACTCGAACCATCGCTAACTCGAACCAAAATCGATTTCCCCTGGATTTCCGTCATACATTCACTGTAATTTTATCCTCGGTAACTCGAACCCTCGATAACTCGAACTCCCGCTAACTCGAACCAATTTTCGTTTCCCCTCAGGTCATTTTCTATTTTCTATATAATTTTACCCTCGATAACTCGAACCATGTTTTGAGCCCTTAAAAAGTCGGGAAAAAAGCCGTGTACGGGCGTCCGAAACATTGAATTTTGGATTTCCTATTGACGCGTTGTAGGAGTATAGTTTACTAGTGGAGGCTGATGTTGATTGTCACAGGCTAACGTGAAGCAGCTTTACGTCTCAAAACAGTAAAACGCATGCTCTATTTCGTTGTTTTGTTACGTTACGTTCTGTTTTATAATCTGGAAGTGTCTTTTAATTTTCACTTGACATTTCTACAATTAAATGTGATTAAAATGTTCACTGTGCAGTAAAAACTGTTTTTACCTTAATCTGGGCTATTTTCTTCGAACTCCTGATAACTCGAACCTTTTTTCGATTTCCCTTGAAGGTTCGAGTTAATGGGAGTCGACTGTAAACGAAATTCAGTTGCTTACTTCATTAGCACTACCTGAGTCAACAAAGATTCCCAAGTTATTTTATTGCTTCAAAGGAATTTCCAAAAATTGAATTGAATAATTTTTCAAAACCTAAATTAATCAACAGCCGACAAAGCCTTCCTCTTTTCTCACTTAATAGCAATTATTTCGGAAACTGAGGGACACACCCACTACGAGTGAGCCTTTAGAAAACTTAAGGTTTTTTTTAATTCACCTACCGATTTATGTAATTATTGACTCTGATCAACAGAAAGAGTAAGTTTGATATATTCTTGCAATTTGTTTTAAAAGTAAAACACTGCAGGAACTTGTTCGGATCCGGTCGCTAGAAATTTCACTTGCAAGCATTTCCGATATTCTTGTTTCTATCTACTTAGTTTTCGTGGGAATATTGCATCATTTAAATAATCAGTACGTCTCTCAAGACTTCTGACATTTAAATGTTAATCCTTCATGGTGAAAGTAACGCTTAAGAGCCATTCGAAAGCTAAGTCAGAATTGCTCTGAAAACAATGTCAAAAGACTTTAATCCAACTGCATTTAGTCATAGTAAAGACACATGGTCTAATTCTCACAATTTAGGCTGGAGTCTTAACGTGAATAGACCATGTGCTACTGTTAAAAATGAAAGATATGACAGATAGAATTTAGAGCCAAAATCAAACTAAAGGGAGCATGCATATGGTTACCCAAAATGAAAGTTATTTAAGTTATTCTCGTGAAAACGCTGAAGTTTAAGCCGGTCAGTATTGGCGCTTTCAAAACACTTACACATGTACATACAGTAAAAACAAAAAAAGCAGACATTCTGAGTCGTTTATTTAAACGAAGACTAACTCAGACCGTATGTTATTTGACGCAGTTATTTGACTACTTTATCTTCTTATAATGGGTTATTTTAAGAAAATTAATTTTTAGTCAAAAAATAAATTTGTCTGGACTCGGGTGAACAGGGTATTATAGTAACAACAAGTTGTCATGTGCCGGCGACAATGATCTGCTCAGCACTGACTGATTTCTGTCTTTTGAGGATCATGCCCCACTGAAGAAAGTGCATTACAAGCCTACTCCAAATGAACGATGACACACTTACAAATCATGACTGTATTATTTAACTAATTATAACTTCCGTATAGCAACAAATTTGAACGAAAAAAATCATCCGCGTCTTAAGTTTGTAATTGTCCCAATTTATTTTAAGTTATGATAAAGTTACTTTAGTTTCATTTAATGGATGTGGAGTACAGGTGAACATACACATATTAAGACAAAATTAACGCAATCTGACTTGTGAGCACGCTTGAGACTGGGATAATTGCGCCATGTTTGTCTTTGATCATTTTACCGCCGTCCTTCATTAATGTATTACTTTACATAACAAACCTTTATTTTGTTGCTTATTTTACCTAAACGTTTTAAGACCACTTTTTATGTTTGTTATCTACGAAAATGAAATGAATTAGCTCCAAAATTTGAGACTCGTTTATTTTGATTTCGGAAGCCCAGGCAATGTTCTAAGTGAATATTGTTGTCGTACTGAATGTTTCTAATCTTATAAATGAAGTTCCTAAAGCTGAACAGAATCCTAACTTAAACCACATTCATTCAACGAAGCACTTTTTTTCCTGTTGTTTTGTTTACTAAACTCTCCTTTACTATCCTTTTCCTACCCGGGCTTCCAAGCAGTACACAGGAATACAAAGAATACAAGTACAGCAATTAGGTTTTTTTCTCTCATCAGGCTCGAAGGAAATTCTAAACCTTATTTTTCTTCCTCTTAAAAACCTTTTTACTTAGAGCCAATAATTATTTTATCTGTTTAAACATCGACTTTATTGTATTTAATTTCTTAAGTGCGCTGGCAGTTTTTATTAATTAAGTAACTACATCGAACATACAAAAAGGGGCAAAGAAAGATTAAACTTCACAGATAAAGGCAATTGTGTTGAGGTTGTTTGAACGGTTTGAAGATGAAGGCATTTTTCCTCGTTGCTGCTTTGTTGCTAGGTACCTCTAGCGCAAATCCACAGGCATCAAAAAGAACTCTAACTTGTTCAAGTAAGAGAATAATAATCGCCTTTACAATTTTTTGTTTTTCGAACTCCTTTAACTTGACTAAAATCTTTCATTTTTATTTGTGGTTAAAAATAGTAGTATTAAATAACACATGCCTATAATTGAACTGTGATCCTGCCCAATTGAGTTAAAAAGAAGTTTTTTTCTGATAAAAGGATACAAGAACAGCACTCACTGGTTATTTTACCAGTTGTTTTAGGCTTGGGTCAATAGCCTTACCCGCCAGGTTAGAAAATGAAAATAGTTTATTGGTGGTTACGGTGGACAGGGCCTGAGGAAATGGAACTTTAGCATTTAGAAGTAAATTTTCATTAGCACACAGAAGTAACTCGTTGTCCTTATTTTCAGTAAGGCCCGTGATATGTTATGCGACTCTTTTTTTTTTTTCACAAATTTGGGATGCATACATGAACAGCGGCGAGTCATACTCTACTCTAGCGCATTGTCGTTACCTCGGCCACATGCACGCAGGCCAAACTGTGTGGTTTCAGTACAATAGCGTCGGAATTGGTCACTTATCTTACGACTAGGATAAACTTTCTTCATCGTTTTTCAATAACATTGTTTTTTTTTTATTCAACATAAACCCTTTTTACTTGTTAAATTATTGTTTTTTGTCGAATCGTATTTATTTATTTATTTATTTATTTATTTAGAATTTCCGCGTCAGCTATCAGGAAGACTCTATTTGGTGAGAGGAACTTTTTTATATTAAACTCCCCATTCGACTGAACAAACTAGTGAGTAATAACCAAATATGCAAGCGAATATAACTGTTCAGTGCGAAAGCACATTGACGAATTGAACAACTAGCAAAAATTGAGCATCCACAGTCCTCGTGCCACTTCAACCGAAAACAAGTCACTACAGATTTTTTACCTAACTACTTTTGAAGTTGTTGTCACCTATTTTTCCCTTTATGTCACTGCTTAAACAAAACATGAAAAACATGAGAATGAGGAACATGATCTTCTCTCTTGTCTTTCTTTTCCTTTTCTATTGGTGGAGAAAGGGGTTATTAGAATACTGATGATCGTAATAGCAGCAATTAAAGTCTTGAGCGGGAGTGCTTAATATATGAATCTATATAGAGGGTTTAGATAGTGTTCAAGTTTGTTCAAAGTTATTTTGCCATTTCTATTGAAACAGAAGTAGAAAAACATCCAGAATTTTGCTAATAAAACTTTCTATGCTATTCACCATGACAAAAATATTTTAAACTCGTGCAAAAATTTGTCTGCATGGATACTACTTTCAGTACCAATTCCCAAGAAAGGTTTTGAGGTTGGACTTATAATATCTTATTCTTTTTTGTTAATATACCCTCCATATCCATGCATGATTCAGAGAGGAGACATGCCTTTCATCGGAATTATATTGAAAACCATGAAGTCAGTCCAAACATCAAAGATAAGCATCTTATCTTGGAGAACAGCAAAAACTCTATTAGGACTTTTCTCAGCAGAAAATCAAACGTAAGAAAACTTCCGATTTTAACTTGTAGACCGAAGAACAGGGTACGTACGACGTGAGATTCAATTTGGACATTGACAAACAGTTTTTCCAAGCAGAGTTTACGGAACATGGGGAGAAATTTTCAATGTATTTGGACCAAAAAAATGTAAGTATTTTTAAGCATTTATTTTGGGAGATTTGAAATGTTTTTCGTCTTGTCTGTCGTCAGAATAAGATTTAGGCCCTGTCCACACTAATGCGGTTTCAAACGTATGCGGTTTTGTTGTCATCGAAAACGGATCGATCGATTCGAGTCACCACTACCGTTTTGACTCTTTTTGTGACTGTTCACAAAAAAACGTCCGAAAACGATAGGAATGTGTACTTTGTGACGTAAGTTGAACTCTATGCGCATGCTATAAACACACGCGCCAGCGATATTTTCGTTCATCGTTTTCATGCGTATTTGATCCGTTTTCCACTGTTTTCGACCGTCCACACTAATACGATCGTTTTGATCCACTTTCAACGGCATTTTCAAATTGATGAGTTTTCGATGAAAACGCTTAGCATATAAGTGTGGACGGAAGAGGGCCTAAACGCATCGAAATGTATTCGTTTTCAAACAAAAATGAATTAGTGTGGACCAGGCCTTAGTTATCAGATCTAGATCATGACGGCAAATGACAAACGTTAACTTGTACCTCTACGTGAGTTTTTCCGTCTACATGTCATTAACTGCTCATTATCTCTATACAGATATTAGTAGGTTCAAAACAGATTGATTCATACAGTCGCATTTTGTGAACATTATAACCAAAGGATTATACCTGGTCAGGGAGTTTCAAAGTTAACATAAATTACAGCATCGTTGTTTTCATCTTTGATGTTATTTGCCGCCTTTATAATCAGTCCTCTCTCCCATCCATGATTAGACTTCAAAAACTCACCATTTGCTACTGTGTATGAGCTTTCTAAATGTTTACTGTTCTAAAATTTTTGATGTTTTGTAGAACAAGTATTACTTGGTCCACCCGGGAGGGTGCATCGCTGGCGACCCTAGCACGGCACCCGCGATGTTCCCGCTCAACCCCGGAGAAGTGAGCCAATATCTAACACCAGTTGCCTCTGGTAAACTCGGATTAAATGGAGCTTCTGTTAACCTGTATTCAGTCAAAACAGATGAAGGTAAGAATTCAGAGAGATGCATTGCCTTTCTTGTTAGTGCCATAAATAAAGCTAGTAACAGATTCAGGTTTTGACTAATCCTAAAGAAGATAATTATTTCGTTAAGTAAATGCAAAGAATATCATCGCAGTTGAAGACGATACTTAATATACCATTGCGAAAAGAAAGCCAGACGAAATTTCATGCTTTTCGGGAAAGGTTGCGTCTTTAACTGCGATGATCTTGTTTGTATTTATTTCTTCTTCGCGGTTCAGCTTTATGAAATTCATACACAGCATACACTCATAATTTCATATTTCATCACAGCAACTCAGATGGCCAGATTACCACTAACCAGCATTGTCCTGTAACAAGTGGAAAAATCAGTTTACTGTTTTTCTACTTGGTATTCAAAACTGTTACTGATACAGGTCTACACAGGATCCAGTTGTCTTTACTGGTGTTTTGCTGTAGTTTTGACTTTATTTGTGTTTTTGATACAAATTGTCCCTAAAGCCTGGGGTCGTTTCTCTGCACAATTACCCGGACATACTCGCGGCCTTAATCTGCAACCCCTAGCCTACTTTTTCCCTCCATGAGAGATGAAAACATCAACTAGAACAAGCTATAATTCCTGAGGAGAAAATGCATTAGAATGGTCACACATTATACTACTAACCGCGATGAATTCTGTTTTTCAGGTTCCGGTATGGTGACTTTGGAGGGTGGTGATACTTGCATTCCAGTGACCTTTGCCTATCATGACGATTCCAGTTCGGACTATGCAAGGTACGTAACGTTGCTCATCACTAATTTCGAGTTTTTTTTAGTCCGATCATCTGGTTTAATAGGCATCAAACAGTATTTTGCCTACCCATGGTATGGGCGCAAATTGTGAAATCGCAACTTAAACAAACGGCAACCACAATCTGGGTGTTCCCACGTTCTTTCGACACTACCTAATTCCCACACTGACAAATAAGCCTTCCCTTCCCTATCACCTTTTAGAGTTGTTGTTTCGCTGTTCAAGTTGTCTGTAAAAAACAGCAAACAAGCCAACTTGGCAAATATTTGTTAGGTATTTATTGAGAAGAACACTTGAATTGACAAATCAATTAGCACTTGTACAAAGCTGAAATAGCAGAAAATCTAAAACATCTTCCGTCGACAAACTGCCAATTACCTGGATTTTAAAATGCCATCAGTTCACTTCTTAATTATGGTCTCAGTCTTATGCAAATAGCTTGAAATACAATGAAATAGAATAAAATAAACAATGAAGGGCATGGTCGGAGGAGGGGTTGAATCCAGTTTTATTTCTCCGCCAAAATATAGCACATTTCATGAAAGTTTCTAACAACCAATGCTGTTACCGATTGTAGCAGTAGGTTGTTATTAGATCTCCCACGAAGAAGTGTTAGTCCCGTCAGTATACGCAAGGGTTTACCACCGTCAAAAGTAATCACGTGTATTCCCCAAGTGGGGAAAAATGCAAAAGGCTTCAGTATCTTGTCAAAGGGTACTTGTAACATGAAACCCGCTCCAAGGAAACAGACAACAGCTTGCACAGGAGTTTTAACGATAAAACTTCTAGTTTTATCCTTGGCCAAAAGATCTGTACTTTTTTGGTTGGCCCCCAGGGGAAAATTCCTGCTACACAACATATTGAGTGGTTCATTCCCACACCCCTTGGAATTATATAACTCCTACCTAAGATATCCATCTTAAATAATGATTACTTACTTTATATCTAGTTATTTTGACTTGCAACCTGAGGTGGACCCCAAGAAGATGAAAATACCCGAGGAGTGCATAAATGGTCATCGCTCTATTCCAGCAAGACTTGTACGCATAAGCGAAGCAGTCAAGAGGGGATTTACGGGAGGTACGGTCAATAAAAGGGGATTTCCTTGGGCGAGTGGCGCAAACGATGGCGTTCACAAAAGAGGATTCCCCTGGACCATAAACGGGTGATACATAAATTAAGTCTCAAGGATTGGTCGGTTAAGCCCCTAAGAAAGTCTTACGGAAGAAGAAACAAAGTCTCATTTCAAGTAGTATATTAGAATGTAACACTTAAAATGTAAAATATAAAAAACGTAGAATTTAGTTGTATTGTTGCATATTAAAGTTAATGTCATCAGCTGGCTGGTTTCTTCCTTGCTTAACAATTAAAAAACACAAGTAAGTCGAGAATTTCTACGATTTCGTGTAAGCTACCTACGCTAGAATCATGAAGGCACGCTGGCTCACGGAAGTGCAAAATCGGCTTTGAACAACAAGAAAAAAACAAAGACATAACTTAGTACTCTCCAAGGTATCAGCAAGCAAACCAAAATTAATCAGTTTGAGCGATTTTCGCCGCAAAGATCACTTTTAACTTGGCCCCATCCCGTGTTATCAAGATTTAGTCCAGTTGTTCCCTAGCGCTGGCTGTTAAAAAAAAGACTTTTTAAAAAAAGAAGATTAAAGGTATGTTTACGGTGGAAAGTGCACGTAGCTCATCTAACTAGTTTACAGGCACCCCACTCAAATTAGTAGAAACGAATGATCCAAATAGAACATAACATGATAAAAAATCCCAGCTGACAGGAGGCAGCAAGTTGACTATTTCCAAGCGTGGGCGAGGTTTTGAACTCAAGAAACCGAGAACAAAACAAACAAGTGGTCAGCTTGTGACTCCGACGCGCTGAATACTCGGCAAATAAGGCGTCAGTATGTCAGACTAGGTTTAGAACTATTTTCCAACTGAAAATTTTCCCTCATATTTTTGCTCTATTTTTCAGCACACAAAGTTTATCCTCATTTTGATTTGCATTTCCGTCTGCAGTTGAAATCATCCGCGCGGGATTAGCTCAGTCGGTAGAGCGCTTGAGTTCAGAGTGGGAGATCGCAGGTTCGATTCCCGGGGCCGGCCAAGGCTCACTCCCTTTACACGGCAAGCGGCTTGACCTTTGCGTTGCACGGATGACCACGTAAAATGGCGGTCCGCTCTCCAGTAGTGCATTTTTCTTTTCCATTCTATTTCATTCCTTTCACGGGTTTATAATAGTGATGAATTCAACAGATTACCCTGCTCCCAATATATCGGTCTTCATAACATGGAGGCCATGGTTTCGTTCCCCGTAAAAACCATGACGTTTTCTGAGGCTTAATTTTCATTGCAATATGCTTAAATTTGCTATTATAACTGTAACAGGCGGTGATATTTTCATATAAATCAGTTGTCACTTTCTTGCCAGATTCTGCTGACCCTCAACTTCGAGGATGAAATTTTTTAAAGGGCCTGTGTCTTGCCTATGTCATGGCTGGCTCGTTCACTTGTTTATAATGCCAATTAGGCGTCCTTATACGTGTAAATGACAAAAGCACAGCTTCCTCCCAAACAAATCTATCTCCCAAGCATTATATCAAACGTTACAAACAAAGAAAATGAACTTTGAAACACTGGTTTACAAGTTTCATCTTCAACTTTGTCCATCCGTGCCTCCTATATATCTAGCCGATTTTTTAAAAACCAACCTAACGAAATTTGCAGCAGAAGAGAAAAAAACAATGGTTGCCCTCTTAATTTTTATAATAGCTACTTTTGGCCAGAAAAAAACTGTTGGACGCAAAAGGTCCATTTTGGTAATAACGTTTTCAAAAATCCTGCTAGAACATCCTTCAAAATGAGCAGCCACTTCGAAATGGCACAGTTTGAAAGATTGGCAGAATTATTTGGAAACATCTAGCCGTTTTTTGAAACCCTACCTAACGAAATTTGCAGTCATTTGAGTGAAAAGACGTCAAAAGGCAGATTTTTTAAGCCCTAGAAGCTCCAAAATCGTAGGATCGAAGGAAAAAGAAAGGAGCAAGAGCGAAGAGAAGGAAAGGAGGAGAAGAGTAAAAAGCAATGGTTGCACTCTTAGTTTTTATAATAGCTACTTTGGCCAGAAAAAAATGTTGAACGCAAAAGGTCCATTTGGCAATACCTTCTAATAAATCTTTTGAGCTGTTATTTTTACGTTTCACTCAGTTTTTTCTGTAGTTCTGTCACTCGGTCTGAATTTTGATTAATTCATTGACACAGCTCTTTAAGGTGTTTCGATACAGTTTTTCGGAGACCATGGCGATATTTCTCAATTGCCTTATAGTGATTTTATCCTTGTCCGATAGCCATAAAATTTTCACTACTTGAACTTTGTCAAAATTTAGTTTTAATTAAAATCTATACTACCATCTGATAACAATGATAAACAAAACTCTTTGAAATCAGTCAAAGACGAATTTGGCGACATCTAGACCTGCTTTGAAAATCCGACATCAGGAACTTAAAGGTCAAATGAACCAAAATTTTGTTTTAGTTCAATTCTAGTGAAATGTGTTTAATATTAACAAAATAAACATACTATGAAGTTTTAGCTCAATTGAAGCAAGTATCTCCGAGATATTCGCAATTAAAAGTGGCTGTTTTTTGGCCCTTATCTTCGTAGAGCGGTCGGAAAAATTGTCGGAAGAAACAGCTTGTGACGTCAATGTTGGTCAGGTGAAAAAAAGCGGGAAATTCAAAACAGAGTTTTTCGAGTCGACTTGGCGCAGAAGTGGTTTGTGCGGCCATAAACCTGGGAAGAACAGGCAATTTGTCTTCAAAAGTTGCAAGCTGTGGTTATAACCTTCTTATTATTTAATTTTCTCGAAGAATACATCATAGTAAAACGGACTTTAACGACATTTACTAATTTCCTTGAGTTGTACCGGAAATGTGCGTGCGTAAGTCCGATTTTTTTCAAGAAGCGTTCACAAAATGTGTTCATATAAGAAAGTTCCTGGATTTATAAGGTCCGAAGCTCCACCGTGGACACAAAAACAAAATATCTTTGTATAATAATCTGCCCAAAGAAATTCAAGTTTGCCCACAATGTGTTTGAAGTCACTGAACTTTGTCGCACTCGAGCTGATATTTTAAAAACCCACGCTCGATCGGACACTTTGATCTAGCTTCGCAGATCACTAGAATACAAACAAAATCCTCAATGTAGAAGTTTTGGCGTTGATATGTGGGCAGAAAAAGAGTTAATCTTTATCTAGTAAATCTTCCCCAAGATCGGTTTGAAAGCGACCATAGTTTTTTAAACTTGATCGTTTCGCTCAGATAAATTTTGCTTTGTGTTGTCAAGTTGAACATGCATATCACCCGTGAAAAACCTACGCGTATTAAAAAGTAAGATTTCCTTCAAACAAAGTTAAAGTTACATTATTACTGCAAAAACTTGTTTCCAATTATGTATAAGATTTGATTACCGATTGAGGTCACTTTAAGGACCATAGACGCCACTTTAAGCTGGCAAAGAGATGCGACAAGCAAAAAACAATTCCATCACGCATAAACTTCAGCTTAAGTGAGCTAATATATAGATTTAGCCAGGGCTAAAAGCGAAGCTCCCATTAATAAATTTATATTTTAAATCAAACAATAAACTTGTAATCCACAAATCAGTTAACTTAAGGGCACATTCATGTGACTTTTGAGGGAAAGGATAAGTTATTTTAGAGTGAAACATCTTACATCGAGTTGATAGCCTAAATATATGTACACCCAAAAAATAGCAAACATCTTCTATCACATTCAAGAGCCATAATGGCTCTTGATCACAGTAGATTAGGCCTCGAAAACAAATTCTTGGAAAACAAATCAGGCCACATGGTTTTGCGTTCGACAGGTTTACTTTACAAATCCTTGCCAACAAATCTGAGGGTGTGTAAACCAACCTTTTATACTTTTTATACATCACATCTGAGGTGAAACAGTACTTTTTATCATACAGACCTCGGACAGAATACGGCATTTCACAATTTTTCGATGTCCAGGACGATCAATCGTGGGCTTTTAGCGAAACCGTTCAAAAAATTTCCAAAATCACCCATACGGCCAGCCGGTTCTCATTTTTAGTGCGACCTGTCAGTGTGGTCGAGTGTTTGAATGAACTTTAATGGAGATACGCTTCAACATAATAACGAATTTATTATCATCACTTTTTGTTATTTAAAGGGACAGTGTCCCGATTATGCGCACGCGCGAGCGTCATCTGTTTTTTCTTCAAAAGACAATAGAACTGTCAAATTGACTCGACAAGATTTCCTTCCGGACCGCACCGCCGACAGAGATTTGTTGTTTATATTCTCAAGTAATATTTTAGACTTTCGGAGAAGTCTTTCGTCTTATATAAAAATTTGGCTCGCGGTTCGAAGAGTCATCGCGATTTTATCGCTAGCTGGGCCGCCTCGCGACCCGAAAATCTCGTTCCGCTCGCTTTAAAAACATATTTTCTAATTTGAAACTCGTGTCAGAGGTCAATCGCTCCAAGTCCAGTAATATCTGCCTCATTTGCTCGCGTTCTAGCCTCAGACGTTTGAAAGACATAAATAAAAATGCAATCTCAAAGCTATGAATCATCACAAAGGTTAGTCAAAAATGATATTATGATTTCATGTCACTAGTTTTTCAAAACATGTAGCGCCTGTTTGTTCGATTTTGTCGCCGTAAGGAGATTCATTTAAAAGTTTACTAACGCGTCGTTGCAAAACATTTTGCTTCACGAAGCTCCCCTCCACAAGATCTCCTCAGTCACATCAATGTCTCAACGGTTTCTTTCTTACAGTCTTTATTGTTGCTGTTTCATTTCCGCGTATTCCGTTCACAATTATCTGAGCTTGTATGGAAGCTAGCAGAAGAAATAAGCCTTCAATCGGCATCAAAGTGCTTCTAATCTTTGGTCCTCCGGCCAACGGTAATAAAAGTAACGCCAAAAAATCCAGATTTTGCCCAAATCGAAACTTAACAGGAACAATATATCATTGATCTATAATCCTGAGAAGTTTTAGTGTCGTATTGAACCCGGCCAAGCGCGATGCAAACGGATTTTTCAAGATTCTCTTACTCTCCTCGCATCTTTTGATTTCGCGACATCCTGTCCAAAAATCAAAGTTTGGTGCATGCGCAGTAACGGGATACTGTTCCTTTAACGGTTCCAGTTACAACGATGTGTAATGTTATAAGGCGTTTGATACGCGC